TTTTATGACTCTACGGAATAAAAGTTAAGCCTTGCAATGGACTGGTAGCAGAGTGGAATGCCTAGGCAACAAATCCTCTTAAAGCCAGATCATAACAAAGGCAAAAGGTGGATTGACGGAGTCGAATGAAAATCTAAGTAAAAGTTGGTAAGCAGAGGTGAGTTTTGTGTTCTGTGCAAAGTGATATTCTACAGAGTTGTCTGATGCTGGACGAAATGTCTCTGGTGGATGTGACTGATACACCGTCAGTTGTGAGTGAACAGCGAGTTTAAAAACGAGAAGATGCGACTGACTGATGGACGCATGAGTATGTAACCCTGGGATTTCCACTTGTTCGCAATCTTTTGTTCCCGAGACCAAAGATCCTGATTACTACCCTCGTTGTTGTTCAGCTCTTAACCTGGTTTCTACTATGCACCACGATTAATGATTGGCTGGTTCGTACGAAAGCGTTCTTATTTGTCTGACGAGCTCGGAGAAATCTCTAAATGGCATCGACAGTAGTCTTCTCCCCCCTTGACTTCAATAGTGCTCGCTTGAATGTGCTAAAAAACCCCTTTTCTCGCCTATTTGGTTGATGGTGATACGGTGGAAAAGGAATGTGTGTAATGGGTTTTGATCGCAGGAGTCACGGAATTCCTTTGAAGTAAACTGTTTTACCTTGCCCGTGTCCAGCGACTCTGGGGGGCCGTGTTACCTGAAGATTTGGTGAATACACCTGTATCGTTTTGGTGCTCGTATAAGGGACCATAGGTTCTATCTTCAGTCACCATGGGTCCTCTTCCTGAGATCAAAGTATCGGAGGGGCGATTTTGGATGGCATTGGCTAACTTGGCCTGTTCATTAGGTTATTTAATTTAGCTGGTTTCGATTAGTACCTGGTTCAGACCCAGCTATTTGATCCGATCTAGGCTATGTAGGTTGTGGTTTTCCTTGGCGGAAGGCGATGCAACACTGAGACTGTCCAAATAGTTTCACTTGACCACTGCATCCGATTCAAGCTGTCTGATGGATCAGTGGATTGCTGGGTTCGACTAATCCTTTTTATCTCTTCTTCTAGCTCTCGGCCGGCCTGTAATTTACTTTATCGCGTTAATCGACATTCTCACCCGCTATGGGATGCGCAAACGTACCGCACAGACGTACAAGACAGTGAAACACGGTGGTGCTAATGCCGACCAGATAACTACAGTGCGTCCCGAGGTCTATGGTCGACGTCTGCTCGACTTTCTACGCAATTGCATTGAATAGCTGACAGCTCTAGTCCTAAGCTTTTGTTTGTTCTCTCATATTTTCTCTCCTCCGCTACCCTCATCTTGGTTTCTTTGGTCCTTCCCTCTCTATTGCTCTGCCTGTTTGTCTTCTTTGTGCATGCTTTTCTTCTCACCACTAGCAGAAATTTTGCTGCTTTTATCAGAACAAGAAGTTCAGAGGGTGATCCACTTCTTTATTTGCCTCTTTGTGACGTGGTACCACCCTTGTCCCTCCCCCACTCCCTTATTTATCTTTCTCAATCTGCTTACTTATTCGCTTATATGAATGTGTATGCGTGTGCCCGTATGTCTGTTTGTGCATTTCCTCTATACATATATTTAGAAATATAAATACCAACACGTATCCTACTTGTTCACTGGATCTATTACCTGGGTAGGCGAATAGTCGGTGCTCCTATCCAGAATCACAGTCATTCTCGAACCCATTAGAAGTCCCAAAAACCTGGAAGCGGAAGAGCTGGAGAGTGGAGGTTGTGTATCATGAGGATGAGGAGGTCCGATGAGCCCTACCAGGTAATGTGCATCTTATGATGTTGATTACGTTTTGACTGCTTGGGTAATTTTCTTATTATGTGCCTTTGTAGAACCAACTGTCCCGAGCAGGTGTCTCCTCTCCATGTACTGACTTGCCGATTCATCTTTGAAGATCTCAGTGAAGGAAGCCCTCCTTAATCCTTCTTCAATGCGTCTTTACACCCAAGAGGAAGCACCAGCATTCTGCTGTGTCATCTTCACACAGCATGTGGGTGCCATCAGATAACCTGCAATCAAGGATCTACCTATCCAAACAAAGCCTCCAAGAGTACATATCAGGAGTAAAAGATGAAATGATGGATTCCTTACTTTTGCCAAGCGTAAGATTCACAATAGTCCTGGAGCATTTCACCACAGTTGTGCTCAATGGCTAGGCATATGCTAACTCACCTTTTGATGAGGTTACCATAAGTAGGCGGGCGCTACGTTGAAGCTTTTAGTAATTAATAAGGTTACTGGGAGATAGGGTTTAACCATGCCAATTCCTAACATTTTCACAATTTCTTCAAATCCCCCCTTCTCCCCTTTCCATCTGGAACCCTAGGGGACATTTGTTTAGCCTCTTTGATGATTCTATTCCTTCAAGTGTACTTTAGCGTTTCACTCTCCCCTCAAAGTCGTAACAAACCACACAGGTGTGAAACAGGATTTGCTGTTACGGTACATAAAGGTGAAAAGGTTATTAGCCATGGCATTGAATAGAAGTACAAATGGGAGAAATGTGAAGAGGTCAAGTAAGGCCAGGAAACACTTTTTCAGTTCTGCTTGCATAGATGCCATCCCTGTTGTTCGTATGACGTGGCTTAGTGCCTACAGCCTTGTGTTAGGTTGGATCATTAATTTCGGTGAAAGTAGGAGTTGGGAACTTTTTCCCATCTGTTGGATAGGTTAGGGTAAGAGAAGGTAGGTTAGCAGTTTGTCGAATCCCTTTATTTAGGCGATCAATCAGTTCCATTTTGACACGTTTGTTTCTCGGTTTTCTTTCTCTACTCCATGACCTCTGTCGGTGATGGTGGGTTTGATGGAGAGCACTTTGACTAAGGAGGGGATGTGAATCACCCTCCCTATATGTATGGATGCCACATAAAACGCAAATTTATCTGCTCTCACCCAGCCTTCCCCTCCTTAAAACTGGGTGTCAATTGGGGGTCCCTCTGAGAAGATCGCACGGACGCTTTTACAGCTTCCTTCTTCCTCTTACTGCCTTTCTGAAAAGCGGTATGTTGGCAATCGGTTTTTTTCCTCTGTCTATCGTCGTCAAATGTTTTGGCAACTATCAGGTGAAGGAAGAGTTACACCACTTTCGGTATGTTCAGTGGCCTTAGATGTTATGGATGTTTACACCACCCTGGAGTAGTTACTGCCGCTGAGGTTCAGGTCATTGACATGTGACCCAATTTGTACCCTAATATGCCCGATTCAACTGACGTTTTTTGGTTTCTTCGTTTTCATTCCTGTCTACTGACCCCTCATTGAAGCTTTTGCAAGGATGATTCCAGATTTTCATGCCTAAAACATCGCCTGACGGTATGGTACTCCTCACTGGGGCCACCACACCTTTCCCGTCAATTTTAACCGTCACTAGCATAAACAACTCCTGACTGATGGTGGTGGGTGTGATTCTACCTCGACAAATTGACAAGGCTCCAAAGCTGCATGGGGTGCTTGAAGACATGAGGGATGTGCCTTGGAGGTGAACTCCCCATTGTTGCATTCAGTTCGAAAGGTTCCCCTCCACCTCCTCGACGCACTCAATTCTCCTCAACTTCACGTTCACTGTGTCGACTTTTTAGCAAATGTGCCCGTTCTCACGGTAAAGTTCCATAAAGATGCAAAAAGTTTGAAAATTTCTTTTTTTGCGTGTGGGTCAATCAAATTTAGCGCCAGTTCGGGCGAAATTTAAATTTGAACTGTCAGCTGGTACAGAACGATTAATTAGGTACAGGTCGAAGGGTTGGGTTGTTGCAGCTCAGTTTGTGGTTTGTTCTTTTTTAACCTCCTACGTGACACCATGTGGAAGCGATTTTTTCTCTTATCAATACCTTTTTATTAAATTCTAGATGTTAATTTACTCCGGGGTTTACTTATTTTTAATAAGTAGTTTGGCAAAACCCCACCGCTCAGCTTTTAAAGTCATGTCATGTAGATGCAGTTCTCTTTACTTTCATTTTTCTTATTTTTCTAAGAGTACTTTCAATAATTTTCAGAAGTTAATTTGTTTCAAAGTTTACTTATTTTTAGTAGATAACTGGTTAAACCGGATTTGCGCCTTTTTGGATTTACGCAGTTTTTTCGATTTTTTAGGACGAAAATAGTAATTTTTTAATTTGTAGCCACCCTAAAGGCTTAGAATCTCAGGAAAAAGGAACCGTAAAAGTGGATAATTTTTGCGTGAATTTGCAGACATCTGAAGTGCAGTATGGATGATCCAGCCACCACCCTGATTCATATGATTAGTCAGGCTTTGAGTCCAACAAAACAGGAGGATTCAAATGCCTCAAAGCAAGTAAAGTATAATCGCTTCTGACCCGCATATTCGTCATACTTAATCATACGGTCCGTCCATCCACTCCTGATCCCTCCATTCGGTCAATCATTAAGTTCTTCGTGCATTAACTCGTCCATCCATACGCCGCTGAGCTGTTAACATTTTTATAATGCCATGTTCTGCACACCACTTCGCTCTTTTTATCGCTACGAGGTCCTTTGTCCTGTAAAATTAACATCTTTAGACGATTTCCCAATGCTAACTCTCATTGCCTCGATTCATTATTCCCCCCTCCATCTTATTGTGGCTTACGCGATCCGAGATAATCCTCATTCCTAAAGCCCTCAGAAGGTTCAAAAGCTAAAACGCGTAGATGATATTAACAGGGTTTCATATCTGCTGCCCAACATTGAGATCTTTTTCAGTCTCCTTTAGTAGTTAGGTGGACTTCCCGCCTAACCATAAACCCCCAGTAGACCCCCACTAGACTACTTATGTACTGTTCAGTAGCACTTGCTCAGCCTAGTTAAATCACTTTTGACTGCTCCAGTTCACCGAAAGAGGTTGCAGATCGTGTGGATGCACTGAAGACACTGTTTAAGAAGAGGGCCTCCATCCACTCGGAATACTTAAAGGAATTGTACGCCCTAGAGTTCAAGTATGCAAGGCTCTACGCACCCATTTACCTCCAGGTGAGCCGCTTTACTTGTCAAAGGAATACTTCGCTTCTAAGTGTTGGGCTCTCTATCCATTTAAGGTTGGCACTGAACGGTTTTTTTGTCCTGTCAGTTCTGGACGGGTGCTTTTTTGGATTGTGGACGTTTGCATTCTACTCGCGAGTAGGCTAAAGCTGGTTGTCCTCTTCTAATTAGGGTTCTTGACCCACAGATAGACATACCTTGACTAATTTGGCACAAGAGTAACCAGCGCACTTTGCGTGTATCTTTATCCATCCACGTAGTGACAAAAGAATTATTAAAATAACCACCATACTAGTAGTCAATGTGGATTGCATGGGTAAGACTGGCATTTCCGGGTGTCTCAAAGGGAAAGGCAACTCCCAAGCAACGGGCACTGCTCTCATCTTTCCTGATAGTCGACTTCCGGAATTATTCGTCAGTGCTTGTTTTGTATTCACTGTTTACACAGAAGCACTCGTCTCTCGTTTCATTTTTATGGTAGATTGACGCGTTGAGCTGGATGTCCACAGTGATGTTTGTGGAGTTTCCTCCTCCCCCTCCCCCCACTTGTAAAAGCAATTTCTCTCACCACCTCCACTACTACGTACTGTACCGTACACATCCAGTGGTTGGTTTGTTGCCGCTACGCCGGTATCCGTGCTATTCTTTACGTCCTTCCTATCGCGTAATCGTTTAAACAAATCAATTAGTCTTTTATCAAGAGGATTGGCCACTCGATCGCATGAAAATTGCCTAAATAGTGCTGCCTAAATAGCAAAAGCGGCTTAAAAAACCTGCAGCCTTGGTGCGGGATAAAGGCTATCCCGTTTCCTGAAGCGGCAAAACAATTTAGGAACTATTTTGCATTCCACTTTCTCGACTTATTATCCATTGTCAACCAGCGTGGAAGTTTGCCCAATCGACAGAAGATTGTTTTACTTGGTTCCGTAACTAAGGCAGTTTTCATTCCTTACTTTATTTGTCTAAGATCGCCAATTTGAGGGGGAATGAGATTAATTATTTGTCTTGTTGGTTGATATTTTATCGTTCTCGGTTCTAAGCAACGTGCTATTGTGACCGGCAAAGATGTGGAGGAGATGGAGGAGGATGAACCACTGGCCAATCCGAAGACTCTCGGCGATGCCGAACTCGATGTCTCCTTGAATTGCGCTCCTGGTAAGCATAGCTTTCATTTTATCATATTTACTGGCAATGTTTAAGTACGCTGTTTTTTATATTAAAAATAATGGAGTGAGTTCTTGTACCTGATTTTCAAATCAGGAATCCGTAAAAATGCGATCAAATATACAATCTCATGAGCCTAAAATACGATCCATCACTCTCCACCTTCTCTTCTTAATCAACTTGTGGAAGAAGGTGAACAAGTGACGGCCATACGTCATGCAGTCACGGCATATGACAATAAGTGTCGAAGGCCATCAAGTTGGCCTCTACCTTTTTATGTCCTTTAAAAACCCGTTAGCAAGAAAACGACTGTTTGCGAACTGAGAAATCATACTTCATACCGTTACAAAACCCAACGTTAATAAGACGAGAAAGAGATAATCCCCGCCTCACATCCCATACTTCGCACTCGTGTGCTCACTCCCCCTCCCCAAGTGCTGGTCTTCACTTCATCTTAAGTGATGACCTATGTGCAATTCTTTTGTGACTTGTAGTTATATACTACTTATTTTCACAAAGGTCTTGGCATACCAGGCTACTGGGCAAAGGTCTTGAGAG